GAAGGCATATTTATAAATCAATCTAAATATGTGCATGACCTTTTGAAGAAGTACAAGATGCTAGAAGCCTCTCCCATGAGGACCCCTATGGCACCAGGACAGAAGCTTAATAAGGACCTTAATGGTCCACCTGTAGAGTGTAAACTCTACAGAGGAATAATAGGATCCCTCTCACAGAGGATCTGCAGAAATGTCTTCTGTGTAGATTATCTTTAACTCGCTTTGCTTAGGTTTATTAGCTGCTCCTGACTTTCATGTGATCTTGTCTGTAATCTGTTTTTAGATGAACGGCTTAGATTCAATTGCTTTAGGTCGTGTCAGGAAACGGTTACTTGCCTGTATAAATAGCAGCGTAGGCCTTTGTATTTTGTGTGCTTCCAGAATTGTAATTGTCAATATTTTCAATCAATTGAAAATCATTTGAAGCTTTTCTCTTCATGTTATTCAAGTGTTCTTCATCGTGTTCATACCAATTGCTGCTTGTTTGATTATAATACTTTCCGCTGCTTACTCACTGTCAATCCAATCAATCAAGTAAGTATTCAGTACCAAGAACTGAGTTATACGATCCCAACAGATATCAATCGACTAATCAATGAGTTTGATTAGCAGGCTCTGATAACAATTGTTGGAACCCATATACTTTTATTTGTAGAAAACACAGTTTATAAATAATATGAATGAAAATCAAACAGTGTATCAAAGACGATTAATCAAAATATTCAAAATAAATATAAGAACAATGAAAGGACTTGAATATGTCGAATGCTTTTATTAGATGAAAGTAATCTCACAAAAAAAACAGGTATAGTATAAGTCGGCACTCTCAGGTAATTTGAACCTGAGGAGGAAGCCTCCTTATATACGCCTAGGTCTAACAACTTTGCTATAAATCAGGCTTGAAACTCTGAGTTGCCGAGTCTGCATCCTTATCTTTGACTTCCCTTGAAAAGCGGAGCGACTAGGTCAAGCCACCTCAAATCTGTTAGACGCTTGCAAGAATGTCTGGGCTTGCACGCCCGTTCCATGGATAAGGTGATCAGAAGCTCTGCATGTACTATACAGAAGCTATGCATGTACTATGCAGAGGTTCTGCATATGTAGAGGCTCTGCATGTATTATACAGAGGCTCTGTGTCTTGGAGTTGTAGCTTGCATCAAGTTCTTATGCTTTTTGGCGCATAAGACTTGATCATCCACGAAGATAGAGCATGGGCTCTGTATGAATGGAACCTTCACTCTTTGAGCAAGAGCTCTGGTTCTTGATCTTCTGCATGAGAGCTCTTAGTCCAGACCGCTTCAATGTACCGTAGAGGAGTCTTGGTTGGTGACGGGTGTTGCCTGGTTTACGGAAGACGACAGGTTGATGATGTAGTCGTCAAGGTAGGCCGGCCGCGATCTTTCTCTAGTGGGTTTTTATTTTCAATGTTGATAGCCGTCGACTCTTCTTCATGTGTGTGTATTTCATTGAGCTCTACATGCACTTCATTCAAGTTCACACCCTCACTGTTGACGTCATCCACATGTGTCTCATTTTGCATATCCTCATTATTCTCATACACACCTTGGGACACATTAAATTCCTCATGACCCACCGATTCATCTTGGTTGCTCCCTTCATTAGCGACGGTTTCATTGCTGTTTGGGATTTCATGACCCCATGTGGGTGTTTTAAAAACTTCGTCTTCCTCAATTTTGGCATTCTCTCTATCATATGGAAACGTCTCTTCAGCAAACTTTACATCTCTTGATACTACCTTTTTTCTATTCTTTATATCAAAGATTTTGTACCCTTTCGTGCCACGTGTGTAGCCTAAGAAAACTCCCGGCCTCCCCCTTTCTTCGAATTTGTCTCCTTTAGTTTCGGTGCTACGATAATAAGCAAGGCAACCGAAAATCTTCATGTGGTCATAACTTGGTTTTTTATTGTAAATCATTTCGTACAGGGTCTTGTTGTGAATAGTCTTGGAAGGGAGGCGATTTATGATGTGTGTCGCTGTTAAATGCATTCTCCCTAGAAGACTGAAGGTAATCTTGCTTCAAAACGTAAAGCTCTTGCAGTCTCGAGAAGGTGTCGATGCTTTCGTTCGACGACGCCGTTTTGTTGGGGGTATGAGGGCAAGTAGTTTCGAGGAGAATTCCTTGATCTATGTAGAAGTTCATCATGTGGTTTGACGTGAACTCCCCTCCATTATCACATCGAACTCTTTTAATAATCTTACTGAATTGAGTCTTGACCATTTTGCAAAACCCGATCAAGCAATCACTTGCTTCGGATTTGTGCTGTAAAAGAAAGACTCATACCGACCGACTATAATCATCAACAATCGTAAGGAAATAGTTAGCACAGGTAAGTGAGGGAGTTCGATACTTTCCCCATATATCACAATGCAAAAGTTCAAAACATTCATTTGATTTGATCGAACTAGTAGGAAATGGCAGTCTAGTAAATTTTTCCCTTGCACAAGAATCACAAACCATGCTGTTTGGTTTTAAAGAAAAGAAATCAAAATGCGACAGTTTGCTATGCGATGCATGTCCCAAGCGTTTATGCCATACTTCACCCGTGGTTGCTAATGCTCTCCTTTTATTTCCCTTGCCCTTCATCCGATATAAACCTTGTTGGCAACTACCCGTTCCAATCAATCTCCTCGAACTCAAGTCCTGCATGACAAAAAAAATCGGGGAAGAATGTTACGGCACACTTACGGCCCTTTGTTAGCTTGCTAACTGACAACAAGCTACACGTGAAGTCCGGAACATATAAAACATCACGAATTTTGTTTTCATTCGGTAAGGTGCAAATTCCTTTTCCCTTGACGGGAATGGAGTCGCCGTTGGGTATAGTTACGTGTAATTCCCGTGAAGTTTCAAGATTACTGCAGAAATGATCAAGGATGTGAGTTATGTGCTCGGTGCAACCCGAGTCCACAACCCATTCGTTACCTTCACCGGATCTACCTGCCATGTTGGCCATCGATTGAATGACGTTTACATTTTGAGAAGCTTTCGCAGCGAACAGATTAGCGAATTATCTGTATTGTTCGTTGCTTAGGCCGGCTATTGGGCTATGTTCGCCTGTATCGTGTTTGTTGTATGCCGAGTCTCTTTCCGCTTCAACAAAAGCAGCCTTTGTCTTACCCTTTTCTGGTTTTCCTTTGTCGGGCCACCATTCTGGGTACCCTATGCGTTTGAAGCAGCCATCGTGGTTGTGCCCGTCCTTCCCACAAAAGTCACAATGTTCAATCTTCTTGTTTCCTCCCCTCTTGTTGTTTCTTGGGGCCATTTTGGTTTGTGACCAACTGGACCCGTCACGTTTTGTGTAGGCTTGAAAAGCGGCTGTCTCACCGGTTGTTCTCTTCGCAGTTGAAACCGCCCTCTGTTGCTCATCCTCGACTACCAGATGATATACTTCACCTAAGGTAGGAACGGGTTTCATTGCTAATATTTGAGTTCTGATTGTGGAGAATTCATGGTCGAGTCCAAGCAAGAACTCGTACAGTCTCTCCTTGTCTCTTAGTTCTGTGAGTTTYTTAYTGATCCCGCATGTGCATCCAGTGCAGGAGCATCTTGGTACCGAGAAAGCTGAGCTTATCTCGTCCCAAAGMGACCTTAGTTTGGTGTAGTATGYAGAAACAKAAACCCCGTCTTGCTTGGTGGTAGTGAGAAGTTGTTTTAGTTCATACGCCCTAGGTGCGCTTTCTTTACCAAAGCGTTCACGAAGGTCGTTCCAGATGTCTTCGGCGGTGTTAGCGTACTTAACACTCGATCTGATTTCCTTTTCCATGGCTGTATTTAGCCACCCCTTTAGCATGGCATCACATCGAAGCCACGCCATGTGATTGGCGTGTGTTTTCTCCGGCTTTTGGAGGGTTCCGTCAACAAACCCGATTTTGTTTTTTGCGAATAGAAAGTTCTCCATTTCTTGAACCAGTCAAGATAGTTGTTGTCGTTCAACGTCTCGTTCACCTGCATCTGTCTTGGGTAGTCTGAAGGATGAAGGTAGTAAGGAGAACCATGGTCTAATGCTTCGTTGTTGGTTTTGTTTGAATGGCCTCCGCCGCTGCTGCTGTCTTCACCAGCCATGGTGGACGAAGGGGGTTAGTTTAGGGTTTTGCTAGAACGGCTCGTAACCCGCTCTGATACCATAAACAATTTTACAGGTGATTTTCTGTATAATTTTCATTGCATAGAACAAGAATACAGAGGAATATATATAGACAAAGAAAGCTAAAAAAGACCTATAATCAAGACAACCAATAAGGAAAACACAACAACAAATGCTATAATCAAGGGCAGCGAATAAGGAAGAGATCGATAATGAAAACATTCCAAAATATATATATATATATATATATATATAATAGATATAAAAAATGGTTGTAAACTATCGTGTAATACCATATATATATATATATATATATAATACCATATATATATAGGTATTATATATATATATATATATATGGTATACTCATCCTTGCTCCATCCTTGGTTTCTAAATTTTGGGCTCAGTATTATCGACTCCATTCCTGATCAACTCGAGTATTCCCTGTCATACTGGGTTTAGGTATCAGATCCCCCATCGGGTACGACTCTTTTGCCATCTCTAGTGAAAACTAGGAATAGTAACATATTTGCGGAGTCAGAGGGAATTGCGTTTGACCTAACTTGGTATCAGTTATGTTTGTAGGTCACAGTGGCAATAGAGGGAAAAGGGTGGAAGTCTAACAAAGAAGGGGAAAAGAAAAGTCAGTGATGATCCATGGTTAAACAGTTTTAATGAAGAGAATTCAAGATTCAAAATCTGTTGGGAAGAGGCCAATGCCAGAAGAGGGAAGGGATGGAGAAGTCGATTAGGGGAGAGGTTTCTTAACATGAGGCGTCATTAACACTTGCCATGATATAAATGGGATACGTAGATGATTTACAAAGATATTTATTTTTTAATAGAAAACAAACCAAAAACCTAAAAAAATACCAAAATGCCACTTATGGGTCGTTTACCAAATGTCTACCGGGCTAAGCGCTTACTAATTATATTACCTTTTACCATAGTAATATGAAAAAGGCCAAACATCTTACCCGCTGAGAACGAACGCAATGACCAAAAATCTTACCCGGTAAGTAAGAGCGGTGACTCTTACCATGATTAGCGCTTTCTAGGTAAATTTTTATATACGATACCATTTTAATAGATTATAATCATACCCGATAAATAAATGATAATATTGAATTTCTTCGATAAACAATCACTCATATAAACAACCCCTTACTTAAACATACTTTATTAAAAACATACAAGATATGGACAAGGACGAAACTTGTAATTCAGTAAAAAACAAAATAGATGATGACGTCAGATTAGGATGGGATGGTTACGTAAGCGGCACATGACGAAAACGCAACTTTTGGTATTTCACGTGTTTTTCAGCGCAAGTTACTACAAGTTGAATTCTTTTTTTTTTAGAAACAGCAATATTATTAAAAACCACCAAGGCTAGCAAGAGGCTAGCACATTACAAAAGAGCCGCTAAAGGGTTGATACACCAAACATTCCAATCAAGGGAATTACAAGAATTCGATCTAAGTCTAATCCAATTAAAAGAGAAGAGCACAATATCCTTGTAAATCACCATCGGGTTTTTAACTGGTTTATTGAAGACCAACGTATTTCGATTCGTCCAAATCATCCAAATGAACGCCATAAGAATTACTTCCAAACCCTCCTTACACTTCTTCCCTTTGAAGGGGAATTGAGCTGCAGAAAAAAACTCTGTCAAGTTGGTAGCTTGGCAAGGAAAACCCGACCACCAATTCTTAACATACGCCCCGATCACTTTAGTAGTCGAACAACCAAACAAGAGATGACCTTCCGTTTCTGGCTGACTTAGGCAGCAAGGACATAGAACAGAGCTCACCTGAACACCTCTTAATGATAGATTAAGTCTAGTGGGGAGTCTAGACTTTGAAAAACGCCAGATAAGCATATTCACTTTAACTGGCACTGATTTGTGCCACATCGTTACCCTTCCATCAGAAAGTAAAACACCTTCCTCGATTTTTCCCCGACACGATTTAACCGAGAAAACCCCGTCCTCTGTTAGAGCCCATCGACGTCTGCCATTAGCATCAACCGACCAGAAATTGTTCACATTCAACCCAGCTTTCCGAATAAGAGTGTCCCATTTTGCAATAGCTCCCCAAACACCCAGTTTTTTACGACCGTCGCTAAAAATACTCCCATTAGCCCCATGAAACGCCTTTATGCAATCTTTCCACAGACTACCTTCTTCATTTAAAAACCGCGACCACCACTTAGCAAGAAGACTCCAATTGAGCGCCTTCAGACTACCTATACCAATACCACCTTTATCCATTGAATTGCAAGTAACTTTCCACCGAACCCAGATCAATTTCCTGCTCTGACCAGTCCGGCCCCAAATGAAATGATTCCGAAGACTTTCAAGAGTGCTAAGAACATTTTCTGAGACTTTAAAAAGAGAGAAAAGATAAACACCCAAACTACCCAGCACCGATTTACAAAGAATCTTCCTACCACCAAACGATAAAGATTTGGCCTTCCAGGCTGAGAGTTTCTCTTGAAATTTATCCACTAACTTATTCCAATTACTTCTTCTACCCATTTGAGCGCCTACCGGAAGACCCAAATAAAGGAACGGAATAGAAGAGAACTTACAATTCATTCTTTGAGCAAGCAACTCCGCTTCACCAATTCCCGTGCCAATGCCATATAAACAACTTTTCTGCAAATTAATTTTCAACCCCGATGAAAGATAAAAACATCTTAGCAAACGAATCAAATTTAGACCATTCGAAACTGACCATTCCCCCAAAAATAGAGCGTCATCAGCATATTGAAGAATCTCTATTATAGGGCCACCTCTAGGGAGGGTCAACCCGTTAAAAACTCCTTTAATACGAGCTTCATACATAACTACCCTAAGAGCCTCCATAGCGATTATAAAAAGGAARGGAGCAAGAGGGTCACCTTGGYGCACACCTTTTTCCATGATAAACTCCTCMGTAGGGCTTCCATTTACAAGAATAGATACGCTAGCATTAGATAGAATACCTCRAATCMACTTTCYCCAGGTAWTACTGAAACCCATTTGCCACATAACCTCRTCTAAAAAATCCCAGTTCAAATTATCAAATGCCTTCTCAAAGTCAGCTTTGAAAATTAACACTTTACGTTTYGCCTTCCTAGCCCAAGAAATAGACTCGTTAACAATTAGCGGACCRTCCAGAATGCRACGACCCTTAATGAAAGCCGACTGCTCCTTCCCGATAATCGAATCCAACAYCCCTTTGAGTCTRTTCGCCAGCAACTTGGAGACAATTTTACAAACACAACCAATRAGATTAATCGGCCTATAGTCTTTGAACAACAAAGGGTCYTTTACCTTTGGAACAAGAGTAATGAACGAAGCATTGCATCCCCTTCCGATATCAGCATTGGCCTCGAAGGCCTTGACCGCCTTGAACACATCTTCACCAATGACATCCCAAAACTTTTTAAAGAAAGCAAAWGWATAACCATCAGGTCCCGRCGCTTTCTCATTACCGCAWCCCCAAACAGCGATTTTAACCTCCTCCATAGTGAAAGGCAACTCGAGCGACTCCATTTGACTTAGCGAGATTCTTTTGAAATGGTTGCTCTTATAAGACGGCCRACACACCTTATCTTCCGAAAATTTCTCTTTGAAGAAATCAAAAGCTGCTTTCTTCAGCTCTATCGGATCTCTAATCCATCTTCCATTTACACCAATACCATGAATATTTAACTTACTATATCTGCATCGAAGAAGACCGTGAAAGAAACGAGAATTTTCATCACCTTCGAGAGTCCACCTGGCTTTAGCCTTTTGCCTGAGATCATTAATAGCCGCTTCATCAATCTCCAAAATACGCTTCATAGTATCAGATCTAATTTGCGCATCAACAGCGTTCAGATTACCAGCTACCGCTTTCGAATCTAGATCATTGATCTTAGCAGTAAGAATAGCCTTCTCAGCTCTAGAAGAGGCCGATCTTGAGATACTCCAAGCTTTAATCTTCACCTTCAACCGCTTTAAATTTGATAACAGAAACCGTATATTGTTTGGATTCGAGTACCCATTACAATTCCTTATCCAACCCTCTTTCACCATCTGCACCAATTCAGRATCACTAAGCCAAGAATTAAAAAATTTAAAAGGGATCGGCCCAAAATCGACGTCACAGCCATCTAGCAGAATAGGACAATGATCCGAATATAAAAACGGCAGCGCAGTCACACCAGCCTTAGGCCATAAGCCGAGAAAACTCTGAGATACCAAGAAACGATCCAGTTTACTCCATTTAACACCGTCTGCACTTTTCCTTGTGAACTTTCGACCGCCCAATTTGAGATCCAAGAACCCGATCTCAGAGATAAAATTATTGAAAACCAAAGCACTTCCAGCATCAAATTCAGACCCAACCCTTTCCTCCCGGCTTCTAACAACATTGAAATCTCCGCAGCAAATCCAAACATCAACAACTATAGACTCCACAAGATCCTTAAGAGATGACCACAACCGATCTTTACCACTAGCATCTTGAGGAGCGTAGACATTACAAATACCTAACTTGACCCCGTTGGGACGCCAAGTACCAATAACAATCAAATAATTCCTGTCAGAGAAAGAGGTTATCTTAAAGAAAATAGAGGAGTCCCAAAAGGAGACCAGACCACCCGATCTACCAATCGGATCAACCGAGGCCATTTCAACATTCCTACCCCCCCACACCGAAGAGCAAAAAAACTCTTTAGGAAAAGACTCTATGGAGATTCTAGACTCCTGAATACATAGAAAACTCACTCTGTTAACCTGTTTGAGCTCCTTCACCAACTTCCTTTTGATGCCTCCCCAAAGA